GGGGGGGAGGGAGAGGGAGAGAGGGGGGGGAGAGAGAGAGAGAGAGAGAGAGAGCTATTCACACTCAAGCATGCTCTACTCCAGAGTGTGTCAAATAGTGGTAACGCGCAGAAGGTGGATGAAGGTTACTAGAGCGCAGACGCTGCTAAAAGCATCGGGGATACTACCCGGTCCCGGTACGATATCGAAGTACCGGACAGAGCTGGCTCGTCCGCATTGCCGCATTCATCTATCAGTGTGTCACGTTTAGTCGGCGAGCAATTTAGAGAGCGTATTCGGGATCGGTCATTGTTAACTTTGCGACTCTCAAGAGTTTTGTCAAAGTAATTATCAATTTTTAGTGACCTTTTTTTCGCTCTTGGCACGAAGTTAATTTTCACCTGTTAAACACCACTCTCTTTCTTTCGACGTTACTGTTTGCACGTAAGTAGCAATTCAGAATCAAACTTTTCGTTTTTTTCGACATATATATCCATATATACGCGTGTACACATATTGAAGCTCATCTATAGTTCAATAGCCTGCGGGTTTTTTCAAAGTATAATATGGCCGAAAGAATTACTTAGCTATAAGAGTTATATTTAACAATAGTTATATTATGCTAAAGTAAATAGTTACTTAGTTATATTAAATATTATTTTTTGAAAATATTAGAGGTTAGGAGTTGCAGATAATTAAGTATAGACTTTTTGTCCTACGAAATAATATAACTATAAAACAAGAGTTTATTTTAAAATTTGTAATAAAATCTTTTGTAATCTCAATAAATTCGCTAAGTTTTATAATGGATAACGCGTTTTATAATGGATATCTCGGTTATTATATAATTTGCTGTCTTCACATTATTTTAAAATTAAATAGTAGGATTTCTGGTAATATCAAAAATAAAATCTAGAAAGCGGAGTAGTTACATTAATTTTCATTAGTGATCAATGTAATTATCTTATATATTCAAATAGAGATTAATTAATAACATTGATACTCCTGACATTTTTCAGCATATTTATTTTCAGCTTATTGCACTCTACAATATTATACTTCTAATCTATTACGTATAAATATTTTGAATTATGTTATCTCATATATAATTTATAAAAAATGATAATCTTTGCCACATGCACGAGTGCGATTTGAATTTATTGTTGAAGGCAACTGACTATGTTTATATATCAAAATTTTAAAGATTCCTGGTGCACAATTACACAATCGATTTATGAAAATGATTTATTCTTCTATTGTTTAAATTTGTCATAAAAATTTTATATAGAAATGTTTATATAAACTTTATTAAAGACTCAGTTATGTAATTGCTTTAAATAGAGATAATATTCATTCAGTATTTAGTAACAATTTTTATTCAATAAAAAATTATTATATGTTATTGCATGTGTTCAATTATTAAGTGATTTAATAAATTAAGATTTCTAATAATATATAAAGGAAGTAAAAATTACTTTACGGATTATATAAGGAGCTAGATAATCAGATACTGCTTTATAATTGGTACGAATGGTTGATGACAATTTTTTTATGTAAGTCTCTCTTAATACAGCCTTATTTCTAAAAATAAAATACTACATCGGAATAAATTAATTCTCAATACATGACACTCTAACTTCTGTGAAAAAATAACATTGGTATTTATTTTTTTGCGAATTTAGAAACTTAATCGGGAATAATGTATTTCTATTTATTATTTTATATTTTCGTATATTTATGAGACATGACGACAATATTTCTTGAGTGCATCACGTCTATCGAGATCCATTGCTTTTGCTGCTCTCCCGCCAAGCGGAGGTATCAATCATACTTTGCCGGAGTTGACGTCGGATCAAAATTTCTTAACTCTCATATATATTCGCGCGATTGTATTCTCAATGGTATTTTCAATACGATTTTTCCTTCCTACCCCCAGTCCTTATTACAGTTCCATTTGCACAATCACTTCGAATAGGTGACGATAATGAGATTGTATTAAAGACCTTTCCATAATCTTAGCATGCATTGACCGTAAACTGCGAATTTTGTACCACACATGCATCTTTAAGATCCATCGATAGCAAAATGAATTGCAAAGGCCAAAACTGTTAAAAACTGTATTAAAAACTGCTTGTTAATAAAATCCGAGATCAATTTTGCCGAGATCCAATCACTTCGAATTACGCAGCGAAGAGTTGCAAGACATTTTAATAACATAAAATTACATCGCATTTTGTCATTTTACTCTTAGCACCGTTTGGAGGCTCGGATTAAAGTTGTTTTTATCCCTCTTAGTTAGTTTAATATAAACTAATATTGAGTTTCGTATAAACTTTAAAGAAGAAATCACGTTTGGTGGCGCGTATGAAAGACACGAGTAGATGCTGCTTCGACAGGAAGTTTCTATGTAAGAGAACAACATCTCAGATAACTGTATGCGTTCGTCTGAAACTTGAATTGACTTTTTCAACTAATAGTTCGTCTGATATTATCAGAAGATTGCAATGCTATCAAAAAATTTGAAATTTACTAACGAGGAATGATTTTTGCAAATCTTTTTTTCAAGACTTGTAAAGTATAGTAAGCGAATTTTGAAAATGCGATCGACTTTAATAATCGATAAAGACATGACATGTGTATTACAATACATTCAAGTACTGTATTTGAAATATTGAGCAATATTTTGACTATAAAAATACGTGTTATGTATTATCTAATTATTACAGAAATGTAATTTTAAATATCAATTTTAATATTTATTAGAAGTTTTTAATCTTGAATGCAAAGATTCAACACAAAATGCATTAATATCGTAATGATTTTCACTACTTTATTACCGTTTTCATGACAACTTAATTGTCCTATATAACTGTCTTGTATCCTTGCATCCATATTCGTTGCGCATTTATTAATATTCATTTTTAGATAATATAATTAAATTGATAGGATCGTACTTGTGAAAACAATCAATGGGAAATAAATTAATTTTCAGCCATTTATTTCGTCTTTTAACATTTTCGTATGACGGAATTTGTAACTTTGGCTTGAGATTATCTCAATATCAATTCATTATACGGCCTTCCAAAAGTAACTTTGGAGCTTAATACCTATTTACATAGTCTACATAATTTTAACTTTTGACACTTGAATCTGTTAAGTAACGTCATATAGCTTCATTATTTTTCCTTCCGTATATAAACTATACTGTACCAATTATTTACATAGCAAAGCGATAGTTAAAGCTAGTAATTAGTAATTATTCATACGAATGCGATGGAAAAAATCGGCGCCATTTGACCTATTGGCCAAACAGTTAAATTGTGGCTTTTTCGTTTTGTGGAACAATATGAATTTAAAATGAAAAAGAGCAAAAGAACATTTGCATTCGGGCAAAATGTATTATTTGGTCATATCTTTTTTATTGATTCTTTTGCAAAGAAATGTGAATACAAATAGTTCTCTTAGCAAAACAATAATTATTTATCAATTTTTTATTTTTCAGTGGAAGTTTTTGTAAACTCTTGACTTTTTTTCTTTAATTTTTCAAATATTTTAATATATTTTATTCAATTTGATGTGTTATATATCGTGCGATTTTTCATATACAAAAAGAATCAAATTTTCCGTGAAAGTAGAGATAAAATTAACATTACTAATTAAATAATTTGATATCGCGAATCAAACGTACGTCTATGTTAAATTTTGTCTCTACTTTCATTTCTACATCAACATTTCGATTTTTCTATATGTGAAAAAAATTATTTTTATTACACGATGTTATATTAAAAAAGCTATTAATAGCTATTATTTTAGCTATTATTAATAGCTCTTTTTTTATCATTTTGTGTGTGTGTGTGTGTGTGTGTGTGTGTGTGTGTGTGTGTGTGTGTGTGTGTATGTGTGGGTGTATACGTGCGTGCGCGCGAGACTTACATTTTTTCAAAGTAAAAATGAAAAAGCTTTTTTGAAAGAGATATTTTTTAAAGTTATTCTAACTGTAAATTAATAAATAGAGAATATCATTAAGTTAACACATGCCGCCGAAACAACTCATTGTCAGACTTATTATTTTATCACTGTAACTCCAGTCACTAATTAATTTCCTAAAGACTCGATTCCGTAGATACTGATTAAAGTACATTTCGAATTTAACCTGCGCAATCCAATCTCACGTTGGACATGCCGCGATTAGTCAAGAATGTAAATCTTAATTAATCTCGACTTTAAATTGACGTCGCTTATGGGTAACTCCGGTATACGCCGCACTTATCAAAAACTTAATTTATTAAGTATTATTTACTATGTTTAAAGTAAACGAACTATATCAGTAAAAACTTTGTACTGTTTACTACTGAAAAAAATATTAGAAATCCGAAATATTTATTTTTCATATTAAAAAATAAATTTTTTGAAACTCTTGTATTTTTGCCGTATATCATATAGAGATGGGATGTAAGGTTACTCATAGGAGGAGAGGGGGGGGGGTATGTAAGGCTCATGAAAAGTTTATAAATAAGATAAAATGACATAATAACTTATAAAATGTGTTTATGAAGTTATATTAAGGAATGAGAATGTTACTACGAATATGACTATATATAACTATGAAATAATAAATAATAATTACAATCTTCCTACATGTATTACAAGTGTTATGACATGAGATATTTCATATAATGCGTTTATTGCATTTAATGCACTGAATTCAATCTGCGCACTTTGTATGTTTTGAGCATAAATCCCGCTCGCCAAAAATGCCGTATATCCCAAATAGGTGAAATATACGAGACAACAAATTAAACAAAGAATACGAAAAGAAAACACTTGTATTTTGCTATACAACATGCTTCACTATTCCACTATACGTACAATATGTATCACGAAATAACCACTAAGTCTTTTACACGTCCTAGAGTAATCATTTTATGTAGATTTTAATTTATGATGGCGTTACTTATTACAGTAACAAATCGAACTGAACTCACAATAATTTCATTAACAGTCAGAAACTGAAATTATAAACATAATTCTAATAACATAAAGGCAACAGAGTAGTTACGGGAAAATTACTTTCACTCCTTCTATTTTTTCTGATTTCTGCGGAGTAAATTCCAGCGCGGCGTATTTGCCGGAGTTATCCTAATAGAGAAAGCAAATTGTTGATAAATAAATTTATGATATATAAACGAAAACATATTTGATGTATTTAATTCTACATGCATATTGCACATTGCATTATAATCTTGTTTTTTTTTACTTTGTTTGTATGTGGAAAATAAAAAAAAATTAATCTTTACTCTTTCTACCTCGATTATAAATTAGATTATTTAATTCTATTCTTTGTGACCTTTTGTAAATGTTAAATTATATATTCCCCTAGTTACAGTATATGTTTATTCATTATTGTAATACGTATATATGGCTTGATAGCGTGAAAATTTAAG